AACTTTGTGGGGTCGGTTGTCCCACACATCTTGGATCTTGTTTCTCCCCTTGACAGAACGGTTTCGCAGAAAGACCTTTGCTCCAACATGGAGATCCTCATCTCTCGCTGCCTCATTGTAGCGTTGTTGTCTTCTGAGAGCCTCCTTCTCTATTGTGCCTGCAGCTTTCTGAAATGCTTGCTGCATTCGCACATGATGGTCCGCTACCCACTGGTCAAGTTCAGGATCGTCGTCTTCCTCTCTTCCGAACCCAAGAAGGTGGTCTACGGGTAATCTTGGTTCCCGTCCGAAGAAGAGATAGTAGGGGGAGTAACCTGTTGAGGAGTGGGGTGTCGCGTTGTATGCGTAGATCAGCTCTGGGAGATGTTCTGGCCATCTGCGCTTCTGGTCCGGGGGCAGCGTGCGTAAGCGATCGTGCATGGTAGGATTAAAACGCTCGCACTGCCCATTTCCTTCGGGGTGGTAAGGCGTCGTTCGGCTCTTGGTGACACCGTACATCTCACAGAGTTCCCGGATGACTTTGCTTTCGAAGTTCCTGCCCTGGTCACTGTGAAGTCTGCGAGGCACACCAAAACGGACGAACCAGTCTCTCACTAAGCATCGAGCCACCGTTCTTGCCTTTTGGTCCTTGCATGGTATGGCTTGTGTAAACTTTGTAAAGACATCAGTGAGAACCAGCACGTTTTCCACATTGTTTGTGCCAGGCTCCAGGACGGTGAAATCCATGGCGAGAACTTTGAGGGGTCTTTTGGCGATTAAGGAACCCATGGTAGGATGGAGCTTCTTCCCAGCTTTGGCTAACATACACCTCTGACAATTCCGGCAGTACTCTTCGATGTCGTGTATCATCCCTGGCCAGAAACATCTGCTACGGGCGAGTGCAAGGGTCCTTTCTACCCCTTGATGTCCAACCTGATCATGGACTGTGGCTAACAACTGCTCTCGTAGAACTTGAGGAAGTAGAAGTTGACTGATCTCGCCACTCGCTTCTTTTCTTTTCTTGTAGAGAATGTTGTCTCTGGCCTCCAGGTGGTTCCAGAACTTCAGCAACTTCCGCATTGGCTTGTCCTCCTTCATGAGCTTACTGATGTGTGGTTGTCGTCCACTCTCCCAGTAAGTCCACAATCTGCCTAGGTGTTTGTCGTTCCGTTGGAGTGTAGCCATGTCTTCAGTAGAGATGGTGGGAAGGGTTGACATCGCAGCAGGTGCTGTCACATCTGGTCTGATGCGGAGTTCATTTAGTCCAGCTTCAACCAGGGTGCCTCTTACTTGCGAAACAACTGTGGAGGGGATGGGAGTGGAAGAATAAGATGAAGAAATGGTCTCTTCAGTGGACATCTCTTCAGAGTGGGCAGTTTGCAGATCTTCACTGTGAGTGGTTTTCCTGCCGAGGGCATTGGCATATTTGATAGTGAACTGGAATTGTTCCAACTCTCCAGCCCATCTGGTCTCTGTCGCTCCCAACTTTGTGTTCGTCTGAAGATAGCTGAGGGGGTTATTATCAGTGTAAACGACAAAGTTTGCACCAAGAAGGATGTCCCTGAACTTCACAGTGATTGCCCAACGCAATGCTAACAGTTCCAACTTCATGCTGCTGTAGTTCTGCATGTTCCTTTCATTCTCTCTCAAGCCTCTACTGGCGTAACCCAGAACTACCAAACCTTGCTCTTGTTGTTGGGACAAAACTGTACCGAGACCTTGGTAGCTAGCATCAACCTCCAGGATGAATTGACGAGAGAAATCGGGGTAGCCCAGGAGAGGAGCAGTCGTCCGAAGTTGCTTCAAGTCAGTGAACGACTTGTCACAAGACTCATCCCATGCATCTGATATGGGTTTGATGGGACTGACCTTTCTGTGCTTCTTCTTCCCTGTTCCTTCCAAGAGTGCGTGGAGTGGAGCCGCGACTTTAGCAAACCCTGGTACAAAACGGCGGTAGTACCCAGCTAGACCAAGAAACCCGCGGAGTTCACGTTGTGTGGCTGGCTTCTTCCATTCTCTCACTGCGCTAATCTTCTCAGGATCTGGAGATATCCCTCCATCAGATATGGAATGGCCCAAGTACTTCAGTTGTTCCGTGAACAGGTTGCACTTCTCTGGTTTAACCTTCAAGCCAAATTCAGTGAGGCAGTCCAGCACTAACCGTAGTCGTTCAAGCGTCTCCTCGAAGGTACGTCCAAAGACTAAGATGTCATCTAAGTAGAACGTGAGAGACTGGAAGTTTTTGTCCATCAAGCGCATGAATGTGGCTGGCGCATTGCAGAGGCTGAAGGGCATACGGGTGAACTCGTACAGACCTCCAGTCCCTACTCGGAAGGCTGTCTTCTCAACATCTTTTGCAGCCACGGGAATTTGGTGGAACCCATGGGCGAGATCTAGGCTGCAAAAGAACTTCGCTCCACCGAGTGCATCGAGGGCTTCGTCGATGCGGGGAAGTGGATAGGCATCTCTGTGAGTCTTGGCATTCAGGGCCCTGTAATCAACGCAAAGCCTCAGCTTTCCATCTCGCTTCCTCACAAGTACGATCGGTGAAGCATACGGACTGAACGACTCCCTGATTACGCCCCTTTCGAGAGATTTCTGCAGGTATTCTCGAACTTCAGCCCATTGGTGAGGTGGTATGCGCCGGTGAGGTACTCGAACTGGAACATTGTCAGTAGTGTTGATAGCATGAGGTATTTTGTCACAGAGTCCGATGTCGTCTTCATCTCTGCTAAATGTGCTGGCATGGCTGGAAATTAGTTGGTGGAGTTGATGTTGCTGATCGTCACTTAGCCCACTACCGACTTTCATCCGTGACATCAGGCTCCTGGCTTCATCAGCGCAGTCGTTTTTAACTTCACCTGCCTGCATTTCCTGCCAAGTTGCTTCAAAAGCTCTGCTGTGATGTTCGGCGACCGCACTGCTCACTGTGGCTACTGGGGTTCTCTGGGGTAAATAGAGGTCATCATTTGTGAAGTTAGCAACTTGAACCGGTATTCTACCACTGCTGTCGACGGAGACTAGTGTAGGAGCTACAGCTAACCCATTTGGTATGTGGGTCACATCTACATCCAGCTGTTCTATTATGGCCTCGTAAGTCACATCAGTTGCAGCAGGTTTCACTGAACATTCCATCAGAAGGAGAGAGTTGGCGGGACTAGGATGGGCTTGGAACCCACAGTTCGGACTTTACCTGCAATATCTGGCTGATGTACAGTGCCACTTCGCACTTCCTCATAGAGAGCGAGTACATGAGCCCATTCAGGTCCATCACTTCGTCTGTTCAACACCTCCAGGTAGTTTTGGCCGCTTGCATCTTGCCTTAACTTCTCTCGGATGTCCCTGAAGATGTTTGACCCAATCACTCCTGGTACTCTCTTCTTCCTCTCTGCAATTGATGTGCCTGTAGGGTCCTTGACCACCAGAAAACCCATGTTGATGAAAGAGTGGCCCAGCACTGTTAGTGGCAATTCAACATAGCCGAAGTAGGGAATGGCCAGACCTTGAGCACCGGAGATGCTGATGAACGCAGTCACATCTACTAATTCTGTCTCAGGAAAGTGTTCTCTGAAGAAAGATTCAGTAATCGTTGAAACTTGCGCTCCTGTGTCAAGTAGACAACGCACCCCGTTGCACCAAGCTGGACGAGAGATTCTGGACACTGCCCTACCACTTTTCTGTAGATTGAGCCGCTATTAGTTGATTCTTGTGGGCCTGCCGTGTGGCTCTCAATGACAGGCCGTTCTAGTTTAACTGAGGGCCAGGCTTCTGGGGGACGAACTGCTGTGCTGGGGACTGCTGGGGGACAAAATGCTGTACTGGGGACTGCTGGGGGACAAACTGCTGTACTGGGGACTGCTGAGGAATGAACTGTTGTGCCGTGGACTGCTGGGGGACAAAGTGCTGTGCCATAGACTGCTGGGGGACAAACTGCTGGGGATCCCTGGTACCCTGACTCGTTCCTCCTGACGACGGGGATGACGGGGCATGGGGACAGTCTCGCTTGAGATGACCTGTGGACTGGCAATTGTAGCAACGTCTAGGACCCTGACTCCAACGGCGAGCAGGTCGCTGCATGGCCTGTAAGAGTGCCTCAATCTGCTGCTGTTGCCGCTGCAGTTGTTCATCCTGCCTCTCAAGAAGTGCCTTCATGCCATGTGCCCCGTCTTCAGCCTTGACCTCCTGTACTGCTACTGCCTTCTGGGTTTTGACACGGCTGGTGCCAAGCCACTCGATGGCACGGTCTCTGGCATCGAAGAAACTCAGCTCTGGCGAATCAATATTCATGCGCCGCAGTTCTCTCCGTAGACCCTCATCATAAACTGCCTCGGCTAGCCTTCCCTTCAGCGTTTTATCTCTTGTAGCATTGAAGGAGACATCCAGGCGAGCCATGACATTAAACAATTCCATGAGCTCGAGGGAGAAACTCAGTAGATCTTCTCCTTGGCCTTGTCGGAAAGAGAAAAACTTTTGCTGGATCTGGGGAAGCGTCTCACCATCACCAAAGACTTTCAGCAATACACACTAGATTTCCTCTGGACTCTTTACGGTGTCACCTCTGCCAAGGATTTCTTGCCTAGCTCTGCCGGCAAGATGGTCGATGATAAACGCAGCACCGTCCTCCCCTCCGATCTGTCGTGCAGTCAACTGACCTTTGACATCACTGACCCACTCTTGGACAGAGGGATCACTCGGTTTCTCCGGCTTCCCCCTGAAGCGTTCCAGCCGTCTCCCTGCCGCTTCGTATATTTGCTTCGCTGGTGGGGTAGTGGAGCTGACGCCTGCTGTGGCTTTCTCACGCTCCTCCTTCTCCGCCTGAAGAGCTACCTTCATCGCCTCAAGCTCGGCCCGCAGTTGCTCCATTCCCTCCATTCTTGATAAATGTAGCAGCTCGTCTCGGGGTCAGTTGTCTGCCGTTAGTTTCGCCTCATCCTCGACTGGGGGTAGATGCAGTATTAGTACACCATCCTGTCTACGACGCCAAATGTGACACCGGAAAATGTGACACGACAAGGATGGTGTACATTACTGTGTCTGGTTCATTTAATGGTGAACTGCATCTTTTAAGTGAAGCAAAACCAAAACAAAACCCTGAAAAGATACAAAATAGAATTTCCATATAAATACAATGCTTTAGGAAATACCAATCCAGCAAAGTAAATTATAAAAAGAACAATAATGATCCTCAGAGATATAAAATCGAACTCGGTAACACAATTTGCTTCTAACTGTAAAGTCAAGTTAAATTCCAAAAATGAATTAATACAAGGCATGTGAATGCTTTAACTTGCACAGACAAAATAGGAAATAACTAAAGCAAATGTGCAATGACCTCTAAATATGACTATGGACTCAGCAAACCATAGACTTAAATCAGTCCACTCATCATTATAACCTAAGGATCCATAAAGAAACTAACTTAGGAAAAATGAATTAATATCGTAAAAAAGGACTATGGGGAAATAACATAACTAAATATTCTCCTAAACAAATATGCAGATGGCATGCTTAATCAAGTATAAAAAGAGAAATATGAGTGATACATGTATATGCTGCATCACATAAACGTAAGGACTAGTGTGCCAGTCTAATAAGACACTACTGGTATCTTAGGTCACACGCTCCAATAAACACTGGACAAAAGAAATCTATGCAGGGTAATAAACACTCTTGGCAAACTTCCTGCCTCCCTGTACTAAGGTATGGTGCCTTCCAAGAAACTGAGTGCACCTCATTATATATGCAGTAACTTGGGGGATTAAGGGTCTAAACAGTGGCTATACTACACTGCACTATGGACATCTACACAGGACAAAGGAACTATGAATTTATACACTAAAAATATAAATCTAAGTATATGTTCATAAAAAAAGTGGAAAATAGATGATGAGGAATATATAGTAAAATAAGGAAATCTATTCTTGAACTTTGTGTACTCAAGAAGTTAACTAAATGTGAACAAGAAATAAAGTGGATATACATGTAATCAAAGTAAGGGAAATCTAAATCCTTCAAATCCATGGAAATAGATTATATTTCTAAACACAGAAAGTCATCAAAAGGATGATATTTTCTCAATATGCAATAATAGATACAACAACACAGTGAATCTGGGCTTCCTAAAGACCATCAATGAATGAATCCACTTTAAATTCAGTAATCAGAGTAAAGTTTAAGAATACTCAAGCTAACTTCGGAATTAATCAAAAAGTGTTCACATAGTCTCAATAAAAAGAAACTTAGGAACTTTAGCAATAAGAACAACTATTAAAACAATATAAATGAATTCTTACCCCAGTCGAGTCATCCACAAAATCTTGAGGCATTAACTAAAGTACATATGTAGAAGGAAGCAGGACACTGTGTGTGGTGTTAAGAGGACCAGTGCTAGTGGTGGAATGACTCACTCAAGGATAAGTGTGAGCTTTACCTTAAGGGTCAAGCGAGGGCGCTGCGCAGGAGAAATATGTAAATGAGCTGTCACAAATAGTTTTACAATTCTTTTTAAATTTTATAAAATGTTTAACAATCTTGTAAGATTTAAAAAAATGTGTAAGATTTTGTATATAAGATTCTGTGACTATTCTTATAAGATTGTTATAAGATTCTTATAAGATTCTTATAAGAGTATTTTGTAGGCCGCGCCGGGATTCTTATAAGAATCTGATAAGAATCTTATAAGAATCTTATAAGATCTTACTAATTTGCATATAAAATACTTAAAAGAATCTGATAAGATTCTTATAAGATTCTTATAAGAAGGTTCTCAGATTCTTATAAGATTCTCACAACATTCTTATAAGATTCTTATAAGATTCTTATAAGAGTATTTCGTAGTTCAAGAAGCGCGACAAATTACACTCATTAAAAAGACGTAGTACACAGTGACGCATAAACATGCGTGCACACTGTAAATAGCACACATATGCGTGTACATGTTGCACATTTATATGTGTACAAGTGTACATGTACATGTGTAGAAGAAGTGGGTACATGTGTAGAAGAAGTGGATACATGCGATTTCGAACAGTTAGAAAATCTGAAATCAGAGGGGGGGGGGGGGGATCTACCCCCCCCAATATTTATATTTTGTAAAGACTGCCTTTTTTCATTCAAATGCCCTTTTTTTTTTTACGGGCTTAACCCCCCCCCCCCCCACCCAATAATTTGTAGAGTGCTCTTTTTTTTAACGAAGTGCCCTTTTGTTCTGAACAAGTACCCTTGTTAAAAAAAGAAGTGGTGCCCTTTTTTGTGGCATCTGCCCTTTTTGAGAATTTCACACGTGTATCTCCCTGAAAAGCACCATATACATGTATTGGCCCTTTATGTGCATAATCGTCGGTTTTGAACAGCGCCCCCTTTGACAGATGGTACCATACCCCTCCCCCCCCCCCACGCTTCTTTTTTTTTTTACGGAGGCCAAGTGTCCGGATAAAAAAAACCTGTCTACATTTCACCACGGATGTGCAAGTGCCCTTTTCAAAATTTTTTACCCCCCCCCAATAAAAATGATCGTGCTACGCCTCTGAGTCCGCTTAATGATTAATTAAGAATAGATCTCTCTGGCAGTTAAAGGGGAAAAACAATCAGATATGAGCACGAATTGAAGGCAATATTTACTGTCAAGATGTATTAATAAAACTTAATCTTATTTGAGTGAATTGAAGACAATTGGTGAGGGAAGTTAATAAATTAAAAGTTGTCAGGAGTAAAACAGAGTACAAATATACACCTACAGTAGACGACGCCAGAAAAGTTGTCTAGGTATAATGGCACTGAACCCTGATCACATACACGTAGAATGCTCAATACTTGTAAGCACTATCACCATTACAAATATTCAACTTGTGAGGATGAACTACAATATTTCACATCAGCTTAATATGACAGTGAGATAACATTACGACTCTTTTTGTCTTCCAATGATTTCAGTAAATCTCAATGTTCTAGTAATAGTCTAGGTTACATGCATCTCAAATAATAAAGGTATGGTATAGACTAGTATTTAATGGGCTATGGTATATCTGTAGTATACTAGTATTGAGCATGAGTTCTGAGCTTGTGAGCTTAATTATGAGTAAAATCTCAATTATGAGCTATGAGCTTAATGAGCAACACATCTCTGAGCACTGTGCAGACCCGCTCTCTCCACGTTTAGAATCAACTTCCTTACGAAGTCTATTCCAGCGAGAGAGAGGATGGCTAGCGCCATGCAGTACACCGAAGCACGTCGCGTAAGGTTAAAGCACTGGGCCTTCACTTGGCATAATACAACAATTTACAGACATTGTTTCGTAATTATTTTGACAGAAATATTCAAGTGTAATGACCATGATTATACACAAATATTAATTATGTTTGATATTTTGTATGGAGTTAAAACAACTACATGTACATCATTATGTAGTTGTTTTAACCTATTTCCCCCAAGCGCATGCACGGCATGGTCGCAGCATTGGAGACGCTGTAAACAGTAAACAATAGGCTTGTCTCAAGGCAGCATTTGAGTCTCGTGTTGAGTCGGATCGCCACAGTAATAATGTGCTGCGATTTTATAACTTACATTGTAAGTTATCCCGCGAGCGTGAGTGGAACACGGAGTAATGGAGTGCGTCTGTGTCCCACATACCACGAGGCCGAATATGTGGGACACAGACGCACTACATTTTCCGTGTTCCACGAGCGCGAGCGCGATAACGAATTTATCTTCAAGCAAACTTGACATGACGGATCCAGCTCTTTAGGAGCCGACCAAACCTACCAACTGGTCGGGTCCTCATGCATACTTTTGGAGCTTTTCTAAAGGAAGAGTGCATGTGTGCCCCAGGGGATTAAGATTGTTATCACCACTAATCCTATTATGAGTGTGATAAGAGATCCTGCCTGAACGATTCAGCTTACAATTTTGCAACTAAATACCTTGATATAAATTCATATAAATATCTTATTATTTACGTGTGTGAAATGTTATTTTGTTTTCTTTTTTGAACGGTTAAATTCCATAAAGTAATGACAGAGAACGATTATTACATACAGATGCACATACAGTGTATGTAAATGTACATGTACATGTACATGTCCATGTGGTCATATTGAAAGTAGTTCCAACACTCACCCAGCCAGCTGTGTTGTCCACAGGAGGTTGTTTATTTAAGTGATTAGGGGGATTATCTTGCTGGACATGGGTGAAGTGTGTTTACTCAAGGACTCCCCACTGGGGTTGAAAAGTATGTGTGAATCCATCTAGGTTTTCTAAAGGGCTGTTCACGTAATGACGCACTAAAAAGATTGAACACGGACGCTGTACACAAACCTTTCAGCAGTTATCCTATTACACGTGCGTGTTTGTACGGAATGGCGCACGCATCTTGGAATAGCGCAATACGTGGAGTGCGGTATGGACCGTGGCCGTGCTACATGGTATGTAGCATGGCTTGTTGCCATGGATCGACCAATCGGGATCGAGGATTCAAGTTTACTTGAAGATTTTTAATTTTGCAAACAAAGTAAACCATACTTCAATAGCCTATGTGAAAAGTAGATATCAAGGAATCCCTGGATTAATTTTCCTTCTATTAAATATGAAAGAATGTACACCACAACATGTGTAAGCAAGCTTCCAAACCGGAAATCAACTTACAAGACATTAAGCAGATCGTCAGATTGAAAAAAAATGCTATACATTTTCCACAGGTGATAGGGGCTAAAGATACACATACATGTACCCATAGTCGGTAATTGGGAAGAATTTCATACATAGACATCAAAAGTAATTGTTTTCTTTAGTGACATACATCATAAAAGCGATGAACATGTCCTGATAAATCAAATTTAGCAATTTTGAAACCGGAAGTGGCTTGTAATTTAAAACTGGTAAAAGATGTGAACTTGCTTTCAATGATGTATATGCTCTGGCTAAGTTGTTCTTTACAAATTTTTTTAAAGTTGACACCATAAATGTTAGAGCGCCCTCTAGTGACAGGTTGAAAAATGTTTAAAATTAATAATCAGTTGATGAGTGTGAAGAAGTTTGCTGAAATCATTGTTATGACAGATGTATAACCAGCTTCATGCTAACAACATGTTGGGGGGGGGGAAGATTGATATCACCAGACCGGAAGTTACAATGAAAATACCTTTATTAAACCCTTAAAAATTGTTGAAATATCAACCGCAAGAGATTTAATCCAGATGTTTGCTTCAAATTTCACAGTTAACATAGCTCTCAAGCTTTTTGGTAATGGCGTCACGATGACGTCATCAAGTATCAGATTACAAGCAACCAAAGGTTTGAAAATCAATATAAATCAATTCTGAGAGATCTGATTTTGCTTTTCAAGGGAGTTGATAGAACAATCCAGGATTTTCATTTTTGATATTACGTGCAAAATCATGTGACCCTTCCTTCCGGTTGAAACCAGAAGTGCATTGTAATTTGAACTGCAGGTCAGATTGGGTTGAAAAATATATGTACCTAGACCGGGATGTGTTATGGGTGAAAATTGAAGTGACGCCATCACATGACATGTGACGTCACATTAAATGTGCAGTTTTCTACGGCCCACATGTCTGCATTAATTTGTCCCTATCACTCTGCAATTTCCTACTGCACATATATCAGGGGTGTGAGTGACCATTGATACAAATAGCTGAAAAAAGGTGCAAAAAAGCTGAACTTTGGAAATCTCCTATACTTCTCCTAAATCTCCTATAGACTGTAAACAGCAAGTGAGGGAAAAAAGCTGAAATCCAAAACAAAAAACGCTGAAATCAGCTTTAAAGCTGAGATTGCACACCCCTGATATATGGATATGATTTGGTTGTAACTTGGTGTTTACTTAAACCGGGATGTGTTATAGATGAAAATTGATGAGAATGTTATCACATATTATGTGCCACCATTTATTATAAACAGAAAGAACTACACATCCATTGGATGGAACTTATATTTGAAACTTCACGTCACATGTCACAAAAAAAGTTGCTGAAACAGTGTTTGTCCACAAACATAAGTCTAGTTTAAATTTTTTTTGGGGGGGCGCCTTAGCCACAGTGTATCCACAATGCCTGTAAGCAGTGCAAAGTGTTTTGAAGGTTTTATTTTGAAAAGATATTATTTTGAAAAGGATGTGATGATTTGCTATGTACTTGAAATTCATTTGGAATCTTTGTGGTACTTTTCAGGAATGGAGGCATGTGGCCTCCATGAGACCAGTTACAACAGCATCATGAAGTGTGATGTGGATATTCGTAAAGATCTCTACGCTAATGTAGTGCTATCTGGTGGCTCTACGATGTACCCTGGCATTGCTGACAGGATGCAAAAGGAAATCACTGGCCTTGCTCCAAGCACCATGAAGATCAAAATTATTGCTCCTCCTGAAAGGAAATACTCTGTATGGATTGGTGGCTCTATTCTAGCATCACTTTCCACCTTCCAGCAGATGTGGATAAGTAAACAGGAGTATGATGAATCTGGCCCTGGCATTGTCCACCGAAAATGCTTCTAAA